GATGCAGGATTCAGTGGTAATGTCAGCCACTACCAGGCAACAAGGGGTTCACAACAACAGCAGTGATGGGCAGGCTGGAGGAGAGGGAGGAGTCAAGAAGAACGAGGGTGCTCAAGATCAACTCATACCACCCTCGTGAGAGGCTCACGAACATTCCCAAAGTAGCTCCACTCAGATATCCTTACTCTCTGAGGTCACCGGTTGCCAAGAAAAAACAGACTGACGAGGTAGTAGCGCAACGGACCGGATCGAGGAAACGTCGAAATAGGTCTCCTCGAAGACTAGCAGGAAACGGACAGGATCGGCGACCAGCAGCATCGATAGTGCTGCCGCTACTATAGGCTCTGGTACTCCAAACCTCCGTTGCATAGGAGACAGCTCCTCGATCAGCTGAGCAAGAATGCATAAGTATGGAAGTTGCTTCCGCTGGTGATTTGATCAGCGCTAGGCAAAGGTCTAGGAGCAGATCGAGGGTCCCCTCAAATGATGGTGAAGTGAAGACCCAAGCGTGAGTCTGAAGCTTGGTCTAGACCCGGACTGCTGTTGGTCTTAGGGTGAAATCCCCAGAGAAGGCTCCCAAGAGACGAAGATCAGGTAAGAACGCGCCGTCTTTCTCATAAGCTGACTTTAGTCTAATGATGTTTCGCCTCTCTCCCAAAGTTTCAAGCGCATTCCGTTTTCAGGCAGTAGTAGAAGAGAAGTGAGTGGCGTTCCAGAAGCCCCTGGTGCGGGTCCCCCTATTGCCGATGTGTATTGGGTGCAATGCAGCAGGTAATGCCGTCTTTCTGAACACTTCATATGGTCTCGACTGTCTCAGCCCTACCTGTGAGAAGTGGCGTATTGTCACTAAGGGGATATTCGACAAGTGAGCATCGTCATCGGACTAGGCTGAGTGGCCTATCACAACGACAGGTTCAATGAGAATCCGGATCTGCCTGTATACTGCGCACAGCTCGGTAGTGCATGCTCGGAGCCTGATGACGCAGAGAACTATAAAGCTCCCGAAAAACAGTAGGGCTGATAGGAGATCAATGCGCAACATCTGCCTTGCAGGAGAGAGAGTACAGCCGACGATATGCAATCGATTCCTCCCCAGCCCTCCGCGGTACCTGTTATTATCACAACCGCGCCTACAGATGAGATTCGAGAGGAGCAAGAAACGGTTGTTAAGACAACTGAGCAGGAATCCTCAGTGGATTCGCAACCCGTCGAGCATCCACTCGTAGTTGAGCCGCTGAGGGTCTCGATTAGCCCGTGCTATGGCAGGTATGATCCTCCGAGAGTGAACATG